CACATCCAAATCCAAGAAATCCTCTAAACATTTCCAGGGCTAGGAAAGCAGTTAGGCACATGCAAAACGTCCACAAAGGGATCAGTGGGAAAGCTAAAGAGGAAAACTTCGTGTTTATTTTTCCAGATACTTCAAACCAAACAATACGACGCCACTTTGTAGATATGAGTTCACTAAAAGCCGGGATTCAGAGAAAAAGTTACAATTTGCCTAAATAATCAAGCATTTAGAGATGTTTTTCTTGCCAATGCTTTTGTTTCCTGCTGAGCAACTCTCTTCATGATATGCTGAAACCTCTTTCTTGACCTCTCCCCATGCCCCTGCTCTCCTCTCCCACTTCCTCTGTCTCCTCCTCTCACTCAGCCCTGCCACACTTTTCTGCACTGAACTCAACATATGCCAAACCCCTTCCTGCTCCTTCTGAAAACCCATCTGTGCTGTGAAACTCCCAGCCTACAACGACCACATACTGCTGTCTGGATCCCACTCTCCTCTTGTTTTCTATCAGTTTAAATCTGTTGACTTCAGAGGTGTTGCTTCTCCCCTCGCAGCTTTTGGCAAGGAGTCAGATCCACTGCATCTGGCCAGGCTGTTCAAGGATAAAGTCTTCCCGGGGAACAAAAGGCTCTTGTTTGCTCAGCAAAATAAATCCTCTGCACTTGTAGCAGTGTATTAACAATATTTCCAGGTGGAACTGTAGCTTCTCCACAGGAACAGTGTATCCTTTTTACTGTCCTGCTCTCAAACTCTTCTGCTTCTGTAAGGTGGGGAAAGGATATTTGGCAAAACCTTCTCCCAGTGATGCTGAGATGATAGTTGCTGAGGTTTAGGGAAAGTGTCTGTTAGAGGTTGTTCCTGCATTGTGCTGAACCCTCTACCCTTACCCAGGAAAGCCTATCTAAGCATACTGCTCAGCACTTCCTCAGGAGGCTTTCCCTTTACCGAGCAATTTTCAAGAATGTGCCAGAGGAGAGATGGTTTTCATACACTTAAAGCCTGAAGAATGTGCATCTAACAACTCTGTATTTATAGAGATGTTACTAATCAAGGATTTTGGTGCAGTTTATTAAGCATCCTTTTGCAGTAACTGACAATCTTCATTACTGACTGAAAGATTGCTATTTGTCTGTGGCAGAGCCCAGATTTTTGCAGCCATTCCCACGCCTCCAGAGTGTCCTTCCTTCCCTCACTGTGAAACCACCCCACCACTGGTGGATGGAAGTGTGCTTCACATAAGGAAATACCTTTTGGAGGGGTACAGATCACTTGTACTCAGCATGGTCGTTGCCCTGGAACTTGGTGGATACTTAGAAGAATTGCATGAAGCTGTATATTTAGAGTGTTGACGTTAACTATTCAAACCCACAGCATCTAAAAACAAGTATAGCTTCTCCCAGAGACACCTGCACGATGATTTCTGTGTGGGAAGAAACAGACACAGTGAAAGGGAAGTGAAACATTTTGCCCGAAATGGCATCTTATGGAGTCAGATCTTTGCAGTGACAAATATGCACCGAGCAGAGCCAGATTTCACATTTTCTAAATGTGTTATTAGGCATCTTTGTCATGATCAGAAACACCACAGCTGAAGTTGTACATTGGTTCTGCGTTTGTCAGCTCAAAGTCTTTTTAGTGTCTGGGTGCTAAGGCCTCTGTTTACCCCAGTTTCTCTATTTGCTTCTTACCTGGCAGATTTCTGTGCCTCTGTGAATCCTCATTGGTTTTCATGAGAGTGAAGTGTCATTACTGCAGCAGGCAGTGTACATCAGGTACCTTGGAGAACGGGATCATTAGGGTTCTGTGTCATTAGCAGTGCTTCCTAATGTACCCCGTAACACTTTCTTCTCTGAGAGGTGGCACTGGTTATCTGAGTTAGCTACTTCATCTACTCTTAACATCACACAGCCTTCAGGGTGTTTATCCTCATACAACTGAGGTGTGGGAAGCAAGCATGGTACAAGTCGTTCCTAGGTCAGATGTTGGAGTAGCTTGCAAAAAATCGTTCAAGAAGTCTGTGGATGAACAAGGTATTGAGCCCAGGTCTTAAGTGCCTATGACCAAAATGGACTGTTAGACAGCATCATCTCAAAGCTAAAGAAAACTGGGATGCAGTTTGATTGAGTATGAGATTTTTGGAAAGTGGACCAGAGAGCTTTGGACCTGTGCAGATCTGGTCTTCTTAGTCCTTACTGCAAAATTTTCCTTAAAAAGACTGACACATTTTGGTCTCATGCAATTATGGATTGTGATGGAGTTGCTCTGTACTCATAGACTAAGTTTATGCCTGGAGTATATGTATATTTTACTTTTAAATAGCAATCACAGTCTGCTGTTGAACCCCACCTATTATCAGTATCTTTCTTTTCACATGTGTTCAGTCAGGGAGACATTGCTTTAATCCCGCTATAATGGCATCTGATCATACACATTTCTCGATTTCTATTAATTCTATTTACCTACAATTAAAAATAAAAACCCAAGTAGTGTATTTTGTAAAGCTTTCTCTTTTTTGGAAGGTTCCTGGTGAGATACTTTCTGTTCAAATGGTAGAGATTTACATCACGTATCATATGAAATTTCCATTTATAGTTAGCTTTCAAGAGTTAATAAATGTTTACCTGTCACACAGCCCTGATGAAGCATCCAAACTCAATGCTTATCAAGCTGCTGTAATTGGAACTTTTCATACACTACTTAGCATCTTAAAATCCTGATCGTCAGCTGACTTGAAGCTGTGACTATATCTGAATTGCATGTCACAGTGGGACCTGGGTACACATTACCATCTTCCAGGGCATCTTTGGAAAGAAGCTTCTGCACCTGGGTGTGGGCAGGAAGGGAGCTGTGTTATGCTCCTGTAGGTTGTCTCATCTGTGTGACTGGGGGACCAGCACCCTGAAGTACACCATGTTTACCTGTGTAATGATGGGCAGATGTGTAGCCCATCTGCCCTGCAGCTGAGGTTCAGCCATGGCATGCACACTAGGACTGCCCTGCCGCACAGAAATAGTCACTGCCTGGAGCTTTTCACTTCCCTGAGGTCTAAGTAGCTGTAGCTTTGCATCTTCCTTGGGCTCTCTGGCACAAGCTGTTGCCCACCTGTGTTCCCCAGCCTCAAGGGTCAGTACTGGTTCCCTACAGCTGCACCATTTCCTAGTGGCTTCTCAGGCACGGAGGTCCCCGTTCCTGGCCCCCAGTGAAACTCAAAGCAAACAAATTGGATTCAAAACCAATCTCTCTTAGTTTTAATCAGCACAAGATAATTGCATGCTTGCTAAGATTTAAAATATGCTTATATCCTTCTACCCTGTTCTGGCTTTGGCATCATCCCATTTGAGCTCAGGCACCTGTAGGCTTTGTCAGTTCTGCAGAGTCCCATCTCAAAACCGGGGAATCTCTTCCTTTCACACAGGCAGCTTGCTGCTCCCTTGGTTTGACTCCATAGTAGAACAATGGCATCTTAACACAAAGGCACAATCTCTGCCCTTCTCTCCCGAGCAGTCTGCCAGTGCAGCAATACAACCCCCAGCTCTCTCCAGGACATGTGAGGCTTTAAAGGCACATCAAGAGCCTGTGCTTTCCTTCCTTTTCTGCAGGAATCTAGCACTCTTCAGGCAGCTATCTCCCAAAGAGGAGGTGAAGAGAAATGGTGACCTTTATCAGGTGGCCATCTCACAACCTCCAGTTTAGTGCTCCTCTGCAGCTAGATTTCATCAAATGCACATTAACCACTTACCCAAATTGGCACATTAATCAATTTTCATTAACTGATACAGAATCTAGCAAATGAATAAGTTCCTTATTGGTCATATTTAACCCTTTGTATTAGTGTAGTTGGAGCTATCTGTGACATGTACTAATGCAACATGCTTATGCTAACTTCTATTTTTTATAAGCTCTTCATAAGCCACTTATAAATAGAAGCTTAATATGAAGTGTGACAGATCTCTAATCTTTAGTCTCTCCTTAGCCCTCCAAGCGCTTCCTTTCTGGAAATACAGAATATATCCAGTATGCCCTAGATATTCTCCATTCTTGCTGATGACTTTAGCTCTCAGCCATTGATGATTTCCACTTCTTAATCACTGTAAATAGATCAGTGCTGCAACTGTCTTTTTATTTAACATTTTAAAAAGACAAATAAGATGAAAGGAGCAGTAAAGAGGTGATGAATAGAAGATATATTTTGTTGCTCATGTGATGCTGTGAGGTGGAGGGGTTTTCATGACAGTATAATACAGACATAAAAATCTGTATTTCTTTTCCATTGCAAAAAAAAAGAGGATTTGAGTAGCTAAGTGAATTATCTAATAGAAGGGGAAAATATTGAGAAAACACTGTGTGGCATTTTTATGTAGTTTCAGTACTATATGACATTCTTTTCTACCAAAGGCCATGTGTGTAATGGTCTCCCTGGCACCACTGGGCAAACACTGTAACAGAAAATGCCCGGTTTAGTGTTACACAGCAAATCAGTGCCAAAATGGGGGATGGAACCCTAATATCCTGGTACCAGGAAATGTTTATTAGTGTATACTGGGTTTGTTTGTTTGTTTACTTCTGTGGGGAAAAGCCTGTGCATCAGAGATTCAGGTGGTATGGAAAATTCAGAAGTAATACCTGTTTATTTCAGCATATGTCATTCAGATTTTGTTGAGTCTAATCCCTCCAGCATCCAGTGTTTTTACTTTGACTTTAAAAGAAGTAAAGCCCTGTGGTTACTTTTCAGCCTTTCCTTACATTCAGGTATGAACAGTACAATAATGCCTGTCCCCAGGCAGTAAATGCATTGATATGCATTCACAGATAAGCACATCTACTGAGTTTCTCACGAACAGGAGAACACCTGATGTAGGGAACATCAGGTGCAGAACTTGTAGGATTTAAAGCACAGCCAGAGGTAATGGCTCCAAATTGTAACCTAACCTAACGTTTTCTCAGCCATAGATTCCTCCCCCTTTTTTTTCTCCTTAAAACTTTTGCTGCTGCGTCATTGATAAATAACAGCCCTTTGCTCTGTAATATATCCCTTTTTTATTTAAACTTTTGCCTTCTTACTCATTAAACCTCTCCTCATCAGCACTACTTTTACTTTTCAGAAACGTATATTCAATATTATAGGCTAGGAGTTCTTTTGTTTTCTCCCCGAGGATGTAAAACCCTGGGGGATTTAAGTATCTACTTGATAGGCTCACACAGTCTTAATCAGCCTATAATGGAGCTAATGGCTGTTTGTCATCCTTGGAGATATAAATTTCCTGGTGATGTCTACTGCAGTCAGTACATGAAGTATGCTCTGACTGCCAGCAAGGTCTAATAACCAGGAGAAGGGCAGCCAGCTTCATTAGTGAGAGCGAGACTGAGACCATACCGGCTGCTTTTCTGGGGAACTGTGCTTTTTTGAATACCGAGAGGGAATAATGGATAATACTGGTAAGTGAAATAAAACAGATCTTGATTCTTAGTGGAGCTACGGGGTTCGTTTGTATCCTGTCTCACTTGCTGCAGGAGATGTGTTTCTTTAGCTTGTGTGGCTTCTTCCTTTTAAATGTCCTTTATTAAAGAAAATTTTTATGTGTAAAACGTGACACACTTAAATTTTTAACCCCTTAGTAGTCTAGTTTTTTCTGGTTTAAGTCTTTTTCCTGGAAATGTGAACCTAAACTGCAATGTGGGATCTGCCTTTTTAAGATTTTCAGTGTTATTTTGGAAGCTATATGCAGGAAATGTGGTAGGAAGGGAAAATGCATATACTTTACTAGGGAAATATCTCTAACAGTTTGCAATAGGTGTGGATAGGTAACTAACAAAGCTAACGAAAAGTAGATAATGCTTAGCTCCCATTTGTCTTATTTCAAGCTGCCTCTATTTTCTCTATACAATGCCTTAATCTCTTATATTTAACACATAAAATACTGAATATATTTGCACTTTTCATTTTCTTTGATGTTCCAACTTTAGATCATTCATTTTCATCCAAAATAATGCACTTCACGGTTTCTAAGGAGGCACACACATCATTGCATCGGTGATGAAATGCATTATATTTGCATTACCTTATATCACAAGGCACAGCAAAAAAAGAGCTCTTTGGGATGGATATTTTGCATGCTGCTATGACTGCTATGATACTTGAACATGTCAGTGTCTCTCTGATTTATTAACACTAGTGCAATACATCTTAGGACACAGAATCTGCAGTAGATTCAGTACCCTTTGAAACCTGCTCAAATCTTCAGATTTGTCTAATGTTGACCTTAAAAGTGATGATCACCTCTACAATGTGGGAAAAGATTATTCTACAGTAGATTTCAGTCATGATACTATATGTAGTTTAAATTTGTGGGGGGGTGTTGGGTGTTTTGGGTTTTTAATAATAAAAGCAAAACTCTTGCTTACGTCTGCTAAGCTGTCCAGGTCATTCTCATTTCACCTGTATTGTTATCAACTTCTGCAAGAAACAGATAGAAGGATCTTGCTGCTTTTACTTCTATGAAGTCCAAGAGAAAAAAAAAGTTTTCCCTGAATTTAAAATGTAGGCACAGTGGAAAATTATATTGCCAGCACCTATGAACTTAAAAACTGACATAGTCCTAGTACAGTGTTCATTTTTGGAAATAATTAAGATTAGCAATACTCTTTGCACTTGGTGCTTTGGCTAGCTTTTAAGAAGCCTTAACATAATAAATGGTAGCAACTTGTGTGCGATATTGCATGACAAGGCAGAATTTTCTGCTGGAGGAGAAGGGTTCCTGCTCTCCAACACAGAATGCTTGTGGGCAAGAGATACCCTGGAAGGCAGAGCTGCTGATTCCTCCAGGTTTTTACACTCTTCAGCATCAACAACTAATACTATTGAAGTCTTGACAGAGATACCACTTTAATCCAACTATAAGAATCTGTTCTGGAATGAGTCACATTTATTTTAAAGGCCAGTATTTGCTTTTTTTTTTTTGGGGGGATGGGGGCCAAGGGGAAAGCTAGTATCTGAAAACCATAGAAACAGATATTCCTCTGTGTGGCATTTGGGGTTTTGTGGGCTTTTTGTTGGTTTTGTTGTGTTTTTTGTGGGTATTTTTGTTTGTTTTTGCCAAAGGAAGATTCCTGTTTGGTTCCTATCTGCAAAATTTGAAAGTTAAAATAAGTGAAGTTAGCTCTCTGCACAATTTACCAACTACTCTCAAAGCCTCTTAGAACACCAGTTTGCTGAATAGTTCCAGATATTTCTTTTTTCACGCAGAAACAGTGACTGATACTTTCCATTTTGTAGAAAACAAACTATATACACTGTTGAAATCGGTTAAAATAATAGTTTTGGTTGAGAATTAAAAACTAGTTATTAAAAAAAAAAAAGCCCCAAACCAACCCAACAACAGATGGAACCAAGCCTTATTGAAGATGTCATGGCAGATCCTGCTTCTACTGTTTTTACCAGCAATCTTCTCACTGCCTGTGTTCAGCTTGGTCAGAGAGTTTCAGCCCCACGTGTGGCATGAGCGTGCTCCCTTCTCCAGGCAGCTCTTCTATGAGTCCAGTCCGTACTTTGACCACTGCCGGAAATACATCCATTTCCAAGGAACCTACAGAGTGCTGAGTAAACACAGCCAAGGGCCAAGGTCTGTAGAGTTACTTTTAGATCTCATTATCTCTAATTGTAACCAAATGGAGTTGGGTGCCAACGTGGGGACTGTGCAGCTGAATACCTCTGTATATCTGGCCTGTGCCCTCTGAATCCTACAGGGATGTGAGTGCACCTTTGAAAGCCCATGAGATGTAATCTGGGCACTTACACGATCAAACAGACAGGAGGAGGATATTTGCAGCCATAAACATAACTGCCTGATTAATTTGTTCTTCAGCAGTTTGCCAATTGAAATGTAAACACGCTGATGTATACAGGCTGGATACCTGCCTGAATTCTTCCTAAAGAGATGCTATTTCTGGCAATAGAGAACTGCAGAATATTAGCAAAGCTGTGGGTTTGAGTGAGTGCTAGAAATAACAGTTTGGTATCAGTGTCAGTGAATCAGGCCTCTGTTATTAAACTCATCATGCTGCCAAAGAGACTTTCAAAGTCAGACCATGGATAATCGTTGGGCAAAACTCCATCTTCTGCTCTGCATAACAGAAATATCTCTGTAATTCGTCACTCTTCTTCTCTGCCATCATTAAAATAATTTTCTGGCCAAAGCTGTAATTTAAAAAGATCAGTGTTGCTAATAGGTCACCTATGTGCACTTTTTAGGTTATGGTCTGAGCTGTTTTATTGAGTTTTAGAAACAATGTTTTCATTAAGAAAGTCCTTTAAATGTTAGATTGTTTATATTTTTAATCCATGTACCAAGACAGCTCTGCATAATTGTTGTCTTGTGTGTTCTTTTAAAAGCCTTTCCCGGAATAACAATAAAATATTCATCCGTCTGTGTACAGCACATCAGGACAGTTCTAGTTGTATTTTTTGCCTATTTTGGCATCAGCTGTTTGTGATGGGCTGGCTGCAGGTATTCAGCTGCAAGGCTGCCTGCTGCTCTGGGCAGGAGAGGGCATCCAGCAGTCCTCGTCTTGCCTCCACTGGCAGGTCCTGGGATCCGGCTTTGCTGCACGAATGTACTTTGGGCCAGGCAGATCAAGCCTGGCAACAGCAATGATGTAATAAAACTCATTTTAAAAAACTCAGGAAGGTCTGGAAATAACTCATGGGGAAAAAAAGAAAATATGAAAGTAGCAAGAAACTTGCAGTAGCAGGAAGAGCAAAGCTGCGGAAACAGACAAGCTCCCAAGTGATGCTTTTCAAGGGGGATTTCCTGTAAGGAGTGAGATCAGCAACATCCCTTCACCCAGAGCTCCTAGTCAGCTGTGTCCTGTTCGAACAGGTGTCTCACCTTAAAACAGACAAGTCTTACACACTTATTCTTATCCAAGGAGCATGCCAATGTGATGTACCAAAATCTTAGGGAAAGATCTCATCAGGGTGAATGGCACCATAACAAGGTGCTGTGTCATACCAGTTGTGAACAAAACCAGGAGTCCTTGTTTCATGTTTCTTGGGGATTTATATGACTTCTTTGCACTTGGAATATTATTTTAGCAGTAATGAGCTAGCTGTGGTTAATTGTTACCCTGAATTATGTAGGCTCTGCAGCTCTGGCTGCAGGCTATACCTCCGAGTAAAAAACCTGTTTTAAAGGGACTGGAGGTCTTGTGTATTGAATATCCTATCTCTGAAGAATATCCAGTAGCAACATCAAACTTCATATTTGACCTGTTGTGAAACTTAGAGCTTTCCATTGAAGCAAGACTTTAACTTGAGGCCTGAAACACACGGAGAGGATAGCAAGTGTCAATTTAGCCTTCTTCTGCATGATATCATGTGTCACAGGAAGGGCAAGAGACACAGGAAGCTGTCTGTGGATGGAAATTCTCTTGCTTTTGAAGTAACCGGTCATTTTTGTGCTTCTGTAAGTCAATAGGACTTATTTAGCATTCTTTAAATATAAGAGTACTGAAATTGAGTGCTGGTTTAGGATTTGACCTTACAGATGCTTTTTAGTGTCTTACCTTATTTCAAGGCAAATAGGCTGCATCTTTCTAAAACATAGGGGAGAAAAAAATATCAGGTAGTTAGGTGAGTAAAACTGGGAGGTGGACTTCAGATTATGATCCTGGTTTCTCATCAGCTCATAGTGTTCAAAAGCCTCTAATATAGCCCAGCTGATCTGTGTGCAGATTTAGGCTAGATAACAATCTCAGTGTGTTGTAAGGTTCACTTGTTACGCATAAAGGGCTCTGAAATACTTTAAACGTCTAAGGCTTAAGCTTGTCTGAATTGTCCCTGTTGATCTGGAAAGCCATTGTGACACAAACACTTGCAATGGAGACAGTGACAGTGTAACTGCAGGTTTCTCAGCCCTTGAGACAACTCCAGACTCCAGCAGCAAAATCATGCCCAGTTGGCAGCTTCTGTTTTGATCTTCGATGGTACTTCGCCCATATTCTCCCAAAGTGGGAAGATGCTTTTAGAAAAGGAGAGCACCTCCTTTCTCTCTGTCCCACTCATGTATATGTAAATGGTGCTATCCATGACGCCATGTTGACTTTTATTGGGTTCTTTTGTCATGTTCTATTAGATCACAAAGTGGTCTGCACATGGACAATAAAATACAAAGCAATAATCAACTATTTTCTATTACATTGCTTATCTTAATTTGTCTCCTGTTTGCACCTATGCCCTCAGCTGAAGTGAACACTCTAGTGTATCACAGGTCACTGTCCGCTAGAAACTTGAATTTCTTCTTGTAATTTTAGAATAATATTTATGGCTTATGCCCCTTTACCCAGAACAGTGTGCTTATAAAGGCATGATCTTGGAAAACATTTCTGTGAGGATTAAACTTCCTTGTGATGCTGCTGCTCCCAATGTTATTTTCAAATTT